CCTGTCCTGCTGTCTGTCCATCTGGACGATCCCTGTCCTGCTGTCTGTCCATCAGGACGATCCCTGTCCTGGTGTCTGTCCATCAGGACGATCCCTGTCCTGCTGTCTGTCCATCAGGACGATACCTGTCCTGCTTTCTGTCCATCAGGACAATTCATGTCCTGATGTCTATCAATCGGGACGATTCTCTGTCCCTCAGAATGATTCTTGTCCTGCTGCCTGGTTTTACTGTGAGGTGTCTCCTGTCCTCCTGCCATTTGAGGATGTCTCTGTCCTTGTTGTTGGTCTCCAACATTAATCTTTGAGAACAGAACTGGTCCAAGTGCCTGGACTGTTCTGAGGTGGTACCGACTGTTTCCAACAAACACTGACCCAAATTTATCCCGTGCTGCGTTCAGGTCCAGTGGTACAGATGGGTGTCTTCTGAAAACAGAACTTGTGTAGATCCCTGCAGGAGTTCTGAATCATTGAAATTTTAACTTTCAAACTGTTCTGACAGGATCTCCCCGGAGATGTTCCTCCTCCTCTTCCTCCTCCTCCTCTTCCTCCTTCTCTTCCTCCTCCTCTCTGATCTCAGTGCTGTCCCATGATTCATTGCTGCTGAATAATAGATGTTCTGCAGAGCTTCATCTTCATCTCTCCTCTTCTTCTGTGAGGTTTATTTCTGGACGGCACAGTAGATCAGTGTATAGAGATACCGCCTCTCAGCGAGAAGGTCGTTGGATCAAATCCCGGCCCAGGGCCTTTCTGGGTGGAGTTTGCATGTTCTCTTCGTGCTACGTGGGTTTTCTCCGGGTACTCCGGTTTCCTCCCACATACCAAAAACATGCATGTTAGGCTGATTGCTAACTCTAAATTGTCCCTTGGTGTCCCTGTGATAGACTAAGACCTGTCCAGGTGTCCCTGTGATGGACTGGAGACCTATTCAGGTTTCTCCCTCCTCTCACACAGTGACTGTGGGATATGGGCACCAGTGATCTGAAAAGGAAGAAGCGGGTCAGAGGATGGATGGTTTTTCAGGTTCTGGTTCTGGTTGCAGCGACCAGTTAGATGTCTGGACTCTGTTTATTTATTTTCTTCTTGTAAACAAACTTATTGACAGTTTTCTGTTCGTCACACTTCAGACTTCACAATAAAATCTGGAATGCTGGACTCTGAGTGGGCTGGATTAAAGACTGAAAAATGTTACAGGAAACAAACGCATAAACAACAACAACAACAACAGTTGTTTAGACGATGTTTAATAGTAACGAGTGTCTCAGCTGAACTTAGCAAAAATAAGTTAATTAGGCTGAAAATAGCATAAGCTACTACGAAAAACTTGAATTGACCTGAAAACTGCTGAAATTAGCTAAAAATGCCAAATATCTGAAAAGGTATATCAAGCTTAGGTCAAAGTCAAAGTTTTTTTATTGTCATTCTCATCACATGTGGTCATGAGGTGGAACGAAATTGTGTACACAGGGTCCCAGTTACATCCAACAAAAGTATAAATTGTAAAAGAAAAACAGTAATAAGATCTAAGATACAAACTAAGAAATACGCTAAACTAAGAATACACTAATCACTAATGGTACGAAAACAATAAGCTGAACAACAGCAGCACGAACATGAGTGTGTGTGCAGATGAGTACAAACGAACACAGCAACATGAGACCACCATCATGGATAAAACTGCCAAGGAAAGTAATGAGACAAATCCCTTCTCACTGGCGCATGCTGTAATACATCGCCTGTCCTCAAATGGTGTCCCTTTTTTTTCTTATAAATATATAGGAATCTTTATCAACTCACATCTCTTTTAAGCTCCACGGGGAAAACCTAGTAAGGAAACTGAAAGTTAAACTGGGTTTCTTTTTCAGAAATAGATCCTGTCTAACTCTGAATGCTAGGAAACACCTTGTAACTGCAACATTTCTTCTCTCCATTGATTACGGTGACATTATTTACATGAACACTCCTACAAGCACCCTGCAGATGCTGCCTATCACGATGCATTAAGATTCTTAACTGGTTGCAACTACCGTACCCATCATTGCACCCTGTATTCACTGGTTAACTGGTCATTAACCTCATGCAGATTCTCCCACTGGTACATTTTCATCTTTAAATCACTTCTTGGTCTGCTGCCTTCATACAGCTCCTCCTACATGTCTCTGTGTGAGTGCAGCTACAGCGTGCACTCTCAGGACATTATTACCTGCAGTGTTCCCTCAGTGAAGACTGAACTAGACAAAAGGGTCTTCTCCTACTCCGCTCCTGTTTCCTGGAATATCTTGCAAAAAGATCTGAAGCTCTCGACCTTGACCTCTCTAAGTGGTTTCAAACATCTGTTAAGTTTCAGGCAAAAACCAGTGCAGGCATGTTCCCGTTTTTAGTTTTCTACACCGCCTTACAATCTAGCTGCTTTTTGCTACTATTCCTCTTGATTGTCCTTTTGGTTGCCATTTTGTTTTGATTTGTAAAAAAAAAAAAAAAAAAAAAGGTAAACTTAAATTTGTATACCTATGCCCATTTTATGGTTGTCTATTGTCATTATCCACTGTTGTCATCACTCTTTGTTAAAATCAGGTCTCTCTTGTAAATGAGTGCCTGAGGCTCATTGGGATTAACCTGTAGAAATAAAGGTCAAATGAACGAGTGGTGAGTGGATACCTGGGCCCACCGGAGGCGCTGCAGAGGAGGACGGACGCTGATCCAGGAGCCAGGCAGGTGGACCAGGTGGAGCCAGCAGCTGAACCAGCAGGTGGACTAGGCGGAACCAGCAGGTGAACCAGGTGGAACCAGCAGCGCATGGAAGGGACACCAGGACGAACATGGCTGTGGCTTCAGAGGTAGCGGGACTCATTAGGATGCTGATCATCGTTCTTTCTGCAGGTCGAGGTATGAAAAGCGCTACATGATCGTGACATTGGAGAATACGGATGGTGGCAAAGACTTATTAAATGGATCTACTGAAGATGTTCAGACTGCTGTAGTTAATGGAACTGCTGATTGTTAAAATGTGAACACTGAGCTTGACAGACTAAAGTGTACTAAGTTAACTAGTAAAGTATTTTGTGAAACAACTGAAATGTTACAAAATGCTAGAAAGGCTAAAATGAACAAAGCAAATAATTTCAGAAAAGGTGTGGAAGAGGTAATATACAAAGGAAGACATAAGGATGAGATAAATTTATATAGATTTAGGACAAGTTTGAGACAGAGCAAATCTGACTTAATAATGTCAAAAGCGGATTGCAAAAACTGGAGAGCCTTGGCAACTGTTTTAGCTCAACAATAAACAACTGTGTCGTCTACATAGAAATGTAAGGATGCATCAGGGATGCTCTGACCTACATTACCTATGTAGATTGTAAAGAGGGTATGTCCTAAGACTGAGCCTTGTGGTACACCATTGTTGACTGTTAAATAACTTGAAGTACCATTATGTTTAATACATAGGGTCCAAGTCCTATTTATATGTTTTTATCAAAAATGCTTTAACTGGACAACATTTGTGAATAATTTTGTAGGAAATTTATTTTACTTTATTATTTATTAGGTATTTCTTTGGGAGTAACCAAGTCCACTTCCAATATATATTTCCAAAAGTGTTGGACCAATAAAATGTACAAGTTGGTGAAAAGACAACGTTCTTAAAAGAATATGTCTTAATGTTTTGTTAGTTGTTTTCTTACTTATCAAAGGACAATCATTGTCAATATAAAATACATAGAATATAGAAGTTTTAAAGCCCCACTGGGACTGCGTCAAACACCACGGCATATTCTTTAGGTGTAACAGGAAATTGAAAATGTGACATAAATTCAGAATAAGATAAGTGACTGTTTGGATTTAACAGTTGGTTTACAAGTCCTCTATGAAACCATTTCCTATAAAAAATGGTCTTATTTTTATATTTAATATCTTCATTTATCCAGATATAATTTTTATGAGGAGAAAAATTGTGTTTGTACATTCATGACCAGCTTAACAACATCTGCTTATGGAACATAGATAACTTTAAGGATATTTTGGGTATACTATAGTTGCATCTAAGAAGAAAGGGCAATCCTCCTACTTTGTCAAAGTTATAGATAGGAATAGCAGAGTTGTTTTTTTAGAAGGTTTTTTTAAATATTTAATTTTGAATGAGTTGTTAAAGATGTGATGTCGAGGGCTTCAGTTCCACCTTTTTCAACGTTGTTCATTAGAACATTTTCTTAATGACAGCATTTCTTTTTCCATATAAAGTTAGTTTATTAAAATTGGTACAGATTTGTTTGGGAACATCACGTGCAAACGGGTCTAGATAAACCTTCTGCTTTGACTAATAAGGATCGTTCTAAAAGAGAGAGCTCTCTCTGGAGCCACAGATTAAATCTTTGCTCAAAAATTTTAATTACGGGGTTAAAATGTTCTGTTGATTTTATATTTTGATCCTTAATGATCACGATTCCAAGATTTTTAATTTGGTCTTTTATAGGAATGTTGAGGAAGGCGCCTTTTAAAGAAGATTTAATAGAAAGTAATTTGCATTTGTTTAGATTTAGTGTCAAGCCAGAAGCAAGTTGATGATTTCAATTGAGTTTTTTTATTTCGCAAATAGTGCTGTATCATCAGCAAGCTGGGAAATTACAATAGGGAGACCAGGTATGGTTGTAACATGGTGAGAGTTGCAACACCACCATTTCCACCAATCATAAATAAAATAAGAATTATATGATCATTCCAGTGTTTACCCAATTCCTCCCTGACCCCACCTGGTGATTGCCAAGCTTTGAAACAAATGCATTTAGATTCTATAAAGAAAAAGCTGGTTTTGAGGTACGAAAGTAAATTTTTGAACCGAGATTATATTTTGTTTAGTAGTTATACTATTGCAGGTAAAACCATATGAGCTAGTTTAAATTGAACTGTAGCTTCTCAGGGAAAATGTGATGCATTTTTCCCCTGCTAATTGCAAACCACTATGCTAATACAGCTAGCTAAACAATGGCTGACAGGGGTGGGGATGGTCATAACACATCTTTAAAAAGTGTTACAACCATCCCCTGACATACAACTAAGACAACTTTCTTGATTTTAACAATTTTACACAATGCCTAGGCAGCGGAAAAGAAAGACAGAGATGCGCCTGCAAATGTTTTTAAAAAATTCTTGGATGAAAATGAATCTTGCCAAGACGATGACGATATATATTATACGATATTCCAAGTGTTGTGAAGACTGCTCTGTAGCTGCAACACCCAAAAACATTCAAGCTGGTTTCCAGTCTACAGGTACTTGGCTGGCGGCACAGTGGTTCTGTTGGTAGAGCTGTTGCCTCTCAGCGAGCAGGTCGCCGGTTCAAATCCCAGCCCCGGACCTTTCTGGATGGAGTTTGATATACTGATACACCAGTGATGCAAGCATTGATGGTGAAAGAACAGCGAAGAGGAAGCAAAATGTAAGAAAGAGTATCTCAGGAAAGAATAAAGCCCAGCAAGAAAATGTTGAGAGCCAGTACTGACGATTCTGAGGCCTCACGATGAAAACTGTTGTGTTGTCTGTATGGAGCCATTTGGCAACTCAAAGCCAAAGGAAGTGTGGGTAAAATGTAACTTATACAGTTTCTGGGCCCAACAAGCCTGCACTCCTGGGTTACCAACATCCAGCATGTAGTGGGGCAGGTTGTAACAAAGGAAAAGCGTGTATTTGACATCAACTCACGAGGTCTGTGATCATCTTGCAGAGGTTTGAATTGATGCCATTTGTAGAAGACAAACGTACTTTGTGTAAAAGTTTGAGCCTCTAGCTCAAAAATTCACTGTTACAGGTGCTGAAGCAAAAAGTACAACCACTTCTGTTTGCAACATTAATCCCGTCATCGTTTCCCTGATTTTAACTGAGACAATTTGCATGGTCAGAAAAAATAAGTATGGGAGACTGGACACCCCATGAGGCCCCGGTCCTGTCTCTGTCATGATGTCCACAGCTGAGGAGCCCTGATGCGATCTTGGGCTGCAGAGTAGAACCTGCTGTGTCCATCAGTAGATCTGTTTGAAAATATGTTTGTTTGTAAATAAAACACATCTGTCTCTGTTTGTCCTCCATCATGGCTGCACCCATCCAGCGCTCACTGATGACGTCACTGTATGCCTCTGTCGAATCTTGTTTTATTTTTGAAATTATAATTTATATCAAATATTGCTGAGGTTCCAGATGGAATTTCTGACTCGTTCATCTGGAGGGATTCCGGTCCTGCAGGACCATCTTCTGGTTCTCTGATGGCCACATGGGGGCCCCGGAGTCCCTCTCCTCATTCCGAGCCGGTTCCAAGCTCCCTCCTCCCCCTCCTGGAGCTCCCTTGGGGCCGTGGAGGGGGCATTCTCTCCCCGCTGTCTGCGTGCAGCGCACCGGGCTCCAGAGGACCGGGGACATGACCGGGAACCCGTGCGCGCGCAGGCTGGCCCGCCGCAGCGCCCTGCTGCTCTGCGCCGTGGCGGTCCTGCTGGTCCAGACCCTGCTGGTGTGGAACTTCAGCAGCCTGGACCACGGAGGAGGAGGACACGGAGGCGCCAGGAGCCGGGAGAGGAGGGAGGACCGGACCGGAGGTTTCAACAAGGAGAGCCCGCGGAGGAAGGCGGCTGTTCGGCACCAGCTGCAGGCGGTGAGTCCGGACCGTCAGGTTCTACAGCCGGTTCTGTCCGCAGGGAGAGGATGCTGCTGCGGTTCGGTTCTGTAGGCCAGAGGCTGATGTGAGCCGAGCTCAGCATCCGAACTAAAACCATCCGGTGGTTCTGAAGAGAGGAGAACCTGGAATAATTTAGAACTTACTGATCCGTCAAGGGGTTAGCTTTATTCTGAAAGGTTAATTTAGGAAATAACACATTTAAATGCTTTTATTGTGAAATATCAACACTAATGGTGCTCTGTCCAGATGTTCTGCGGTGTTCATTCCTGATGTTCTGTGGTGTTCATTCCAGATGTTCTGTAGTGTCTTGTCCAGATGTTCTATAGAGTTTGGTCCAGATGTTCTGTCCAGGTGGCCTGCCCACATGTTATTTAGTGTTTGGCCCAGGTGTTCAATTGTGTCTGATCCAGATGTTCTGTCCAGGTGTCCGACCCACGTGTTCTTTAGTGTTTGGCCTAGATGTTCAGTTGTGTCCGATCCAGATGTTCTGTCCAGGTGTCCGGTGCAGATGTTCTGTCCAGGTGCCCGGTCCACATGTTCTGTTCAGATGTCCGGCCCACATTTTCTTCAGTGTTTGGCCCAGATGTTCTGTAGTGTCTGGTACTGATGTTTTATAGTGTTTGGTCCAGATGTTCTGTCCAGGTGTCCTGCCCACATGTTCTTTAGTGTTTGACCCAGGTGTTCAGTTGTGTTTGGTCCAGATGTTCTGTAGTGTCGATCCAGATGTTCTGTCCAGGTGTCCTGCCCACACATTCTTTAGTGTTTGGCCCAGGTGTTCAGTTGTGTTTGGTCCAGATGTTCTGTAGTGTCCAATCCAGATGTTCTGTCCAGGTGTCCAACCCACGTGCTCTTTAGTGTTTGGCCTAGATGTTCAGTTGTGTCCGATCCAGATGTT